TATTTGATGAACTTTATTTTTAATAAAGTGCCAGACCACGTCAGTAAGAACTTGGTCCTTTGTTCACTTCATTTTACTGTGGATTCATTTACAAACAAGGCACAATTAGACGCAGGATTTTCAGAAAGATTGAAACTAAAAGACGATGCTGTGCCGGCTATATTGGATCCGACTGTAATATCGCAACACACAAGTGTGAGTAACTGTTTTTATTATGTGGTCACTATTGTTTTGTCTGTTATTACAGATTGTTTGTTTTGTATGGAGAATTTATGTGTTATTAACCTAAATCACAGCAGCACTGCATTCATCTGGGAAGGATGTAGGCTGTTAAACATACACAACTATTAGCCAATAATAGCAGTGGGTGTTTACTTCTGAGTCTACAATCCGCCACGCCTATTCAAACAGAGCGTTCTGAAGAGGGGGGTTAAAAACAGGACGTAATAGAAGTAATAGGTTTTTTTTATGTAAAAATCTTGATAACATTAGTGGATATCAGAGAACAGTACAAAATAAAAAACAAAGGCAGTTTATGACCCCTTTAAAAAGCTATACAAATATATAAAAAGTTAAAATATACAGAATTTGATATTTGATACATTTTCATTCTGCTTTCTAAAGACTGGTCAGAACATTTTCAATTTTTTTTTCTATTCACAGTCATCGTTTAACGTTTCTCTTCAGGATTATACATATAATGTATACCGATGGTGGGTAAAAAAGTAAATATATTTTACAAAAATGGTTCTGTATAATATTTTTTTATATTTATAATATATTTTCACAGTGAAATTTTATGTGTATCAAAAGATTCAAGATTCAAGATTTTTTATTTGTCACATACATGGTTATATGGAGAATATATGACCAATAGTGAAATGTACGGTGGCCGAGAAGTGCAAAACAAATCACAATTCTGAAAACAAAATAACAAATTACAAACGCAAATGCAAGTCTAAAAAAACTAAATAACAATTCAGAAAACACAACAACAATTCAGAAAACATTATAACAAGTCAGAAAACACAATGACAAATTCAAAAACAAAATAACAAGTCAGAAAACACAATGACAAATCAGACAAACCGGAAGAGGTAGGTATAGTTTGAGACAGCATCATTGCTTTGGGATTACTCACCGCTGACTGGACGAGACATCTGTCAATCAACTTCCCTATACAGGAAAGAACCAGCCGAAGAACAGCAGAGTCGTGGTAGAAAGTTCGGAGATGGTATTAAAGTAGCTCAGTTTAAATGTATTGTATGAATTGCCCTTACTATGGAATAAAAAATATGTGGTGTCTATTTATATTTAGTTAAAAGTGTCTGTAAATCATCAGGTCCAGTGGCGCAGATGGATAAGTGTGTGTTGTTGGCTTTTTGACGCGATCGACCCGGGTTCGAGCCCATCTTTTGCCGAACTTTTTTTCCCTCCCTTTTCAAATCTCGTATTAGCAATGGATTCTATTTACACTAAGTGCAAATACCTATTTACACTGTTAAAATAGCAGGATTTCTACTATCAAGTATACAACTTGTTGCAAATAGTGGCAATTATCTGCACTTCAGTATTGTAGTACATTATAAAACAGTATGCAATAATAACGTATTGAGTGTAAATTATAATTTTAATTATTAAATGGATGCATCCTTATTGGTACAATAAAGCCCTCCCTACACCTACCCTAACCCTACCCGATACTTTATTTTCAACTTTTTGATTATTTCCTTAATTTTTATTGAAAATAAATGCCTTTACGATGTGATACGAGATTTGAAAAGGGAGAAAAAAAAAGTTCGGCAAAAGGCGGGATCGAACCCGGGTCGATCGCGTCAAAAAGCCAACGACACACGCTTATCCATCTGCGCCACTGGAGCTTATGTTTTACAGCCACTTTTAACTAAAATTAAATATACACTCCATATTTTTTATTCCATATTAAGGGCAATTCATACAATACATTTAAACTGAGCTACTTTAATACCATCTCCGAACTTTCTACCACGGCTGTTCTTCGGCTGGTTCTTTCCTGTATAGGGAAGTTGATTGACAGATGTCTCGTCCAGTCAGCGGTGAGTAATCCCAAACCAATGGTGCTGTCTCAAACTATACCTACCTCTTCCGGATTGTCTGATTTGTCATTGTGTTTTCTGACTTGTTAATTTGTTTTCGGATTTGTCGTTGTGTTTTCTGACCTTTTTATAATGTTTTCTGAATTGTTGTTGTGCTTTCTGAATTGTTATTTAGTTTTTTAGACTTGCATTTGCATTTGTAATTTGTTATTTTGTTTTCAGAATTGTGATTTGTTTAGCACTTCTCGGCCACCGTAGAAATGTAAGTACAAAGGAATATAAATACCATGTAAGCATATTTTCATGTATCAAGATACATTTATACTTTGAAAATTAAAAATATTATGTGTTAATTATTGTATGAAAAATACTAACTTTTTCTTCCTATCATCAGAATACATTTAGATGCATCAATGTACACTTAGGAAGGCAAGGGACCTAATGTATTCATCAAGAGGATCATCATATTTGAGGGTTCATGTCATCAAAAAATTTGTTTCTCTCTAGTAGATACTTGCATATTAAAATACCCAAATTGATCAAGTACTATATGTTTATCTTTATTCCTGAAGCACCTGACCCTGTTTTCGCTGCCTGTATGTTTATGGTAATTGCATCCTGTGCAATTAATAATAGCCAAAACAAACACTTTAAATCCTTGAAAATCCTTTGGATTATCCCTCCATTTCCCACTGTCATCCTGCACACGGTTTCCAGGCTGTTCTGACGGGGTACAGGGGAAATAAGGACGCCGATGCAGAAGATGCAGAAGAAGGGAAAGAGAGGCGGAGCAACTGAAAGATTGTGTGGGCAGAGTGGGTAGAAAACTGGCAGCAGTCGGGTGAGAGAAGGATAACAAATTAAAACAGGAGAGAAAGGCTCAGAGAGAGAGCGAAGAAAAGTGTGAGAGAAGGAACACAGTAGTCCTGAGCGGATGAAGGAAGAGGGTAGAAAAAGGAGGGTGAATGGGGTATGTTAGCCAATGCATTCGCAAACTGGCCCCCCGTATTCCTCTTTTTGTTGTTCCCACCATTTATGTCATGTGCTTAAGCCCAGCTAGTGCCTGAAAGCCTCTTATGTAATGGTTCTCTGGGTTTGTCCAACATGGAGCCCTGCTGCATTAAATATGATTACTCATCTATCCCTCATGCTGGTTCTATTGCAAGACAAACCCCTCTGGCTTTTGTGTGCAGCAAGGCATTCTGGGAGAGCTGTACTGTGGGGACACAGACACAGTGCATGACTTTAAGGGGGTTTCAGGAAGAGGGTTTTGACCACGATTCTTATACTGCCTTTTAACAGGCCAATACCAACAGTGATCTATGCATAATGTAGATCTTACTTACAGTATGCTTATCTGCATGCTATTTCTATTCATTTCAACATACCAAAAAATTATCTGAAATCTTGCATAATGTATGAAATATGTTTGGAATGTTGCTGTGACTAGTTATATGCATTCAAAATGTACTATTGAAGGCTAAATGTGATTAAAAATGGTGAAAACACAGCCAAGATTAAAGATATACACCTATACATTCATATAAATGTTAGCCTAAAATCTTAATGTTGATTTGAAAATTAGTAGATCAATACATACATTGATGTATACACACTACTGCTCAAAGGTTTGGGGTCACTACACTCTTAAAAATAAAGGTGCTTCAAAAGGTTCTTCACAGCGATGCCATAGAAGAACCATTTTTGGTTCCACAAAGAACCATTCAGTCAAAGGTTCTTTAAAGAACCATCTCTTTCTTACCTTTTTATAATCTGAAGAACCTTCTTTCGCCCCAAAGAACCTTTTGTGAAACAGAAAGGTTCTTCAGATGTTAAAGGTTCTTTATGGAACCATTTAGACAAAAAGGTTCTTCTATGGCATTGTGAAGCACCTTTATTTTTAAGAGTGCATATGATTTAAAAAAAAAAAGAAATTAACACTTTTAACAAGGATGCAATAAATTGATCAAAAGTAACAGTAAAGAGGCGACATTTATAATATTTGCATAAATTATGTACTTGTAAACCTTCTAAAGAGTATCACCGTTTCCACAAAAAATAAGTAGCTTAACTGTTTGGAGTATTGATAATAAGAAGTTGGTTCTTGAGCAGCAAATCAGCTTTTAAGATTTCTGAAGGATCATGTGACACTGAAGACTGGAGTTAAGGCTGCTGAAAATTCAGCTTTGCCATCACAGGAATAAATTACATTTTGAAATATATTACAAAAGTGTTATTTCACAATCTTATTGTTTTTACTGTTTTTGTCAAATAAATGCAGCCTGGGTGAGCATAAAGGACTTCTTTCACAAGCATTTAAAAAAAATCTTATACTGACCCAAACCTTTGAACAGTACATTTATTTATATATGTTTTTATAGCAAGGAATTTAGTAAGCTTCATTGGGACTACGACATTGTGTTAACATAGCGTGAGTTGTGTGCCTCTAAATGACCCTTTTCTCCTTCTCCATTTTCTTTCCTCCATTATTTAAAACCACTCAGACTACTTTTTCCAAGTGAACTTGGACTGTATCACAGAGTGCCTCTGACCTTCCCTTTACCCTAACTTGTTAACCCAGTCCCTTTTATTCTCTCCCTCCATTTCATTTACATGTATATTTAATCCTTCAGTGGATGCTTTTATCCAAAGCGACTTACAAATGTGGATCATCACAAGCAATTTGTCACACAAGAGCCAAAAATACATGCAGTACATCATTGCAGAGTTTCCAGAGTAAGCTACAGTATTACAAAAGCTGGAGCAAAAGTGACAATTCTAAAAAGTAGTAAAAAGAGAGATTAGAAAAAGTTTATTTATAGGAAATGCCTTTTTTTATTGTCATAGTTTAGCCTGCTTTCAAAATGTTTATCTTTAGCTGTTTCTTGGAGGTTGTGATGGTCTAACTTTCTCTTTCTTATACAGAACTATGGACTAGAGACAGAGAACCTGAAGACTCTGACCCATAAGCTGAATGCATCAGCCAAGAACCTGCAGAACTTCATAACAGGCCGGCGGAGAGGCGGTCACTATGACGGCAGAGCCACACGAAAACTTCCTAATGACTTTCTGACCTCTGTAGTGGACCTCATTGCTGCCGCCAAGAGCCTGCTGGCTTGGTTGGATAGGTTAGTCCTGCAAAGAGACAAACACCACTCACAACAAACACAGATGTGTACAGACACATTTTACATTCATTAAACCGTGCAGCTACATATATAGTGGCCCTAAAAGTATTAGGACACCAGTTCTGTTGTTAAAGTGTTAGTTCACCCAAAAATGAAAATTCTGTCATTACTCACCCTCACGTTGTTCCAAACCCATAAGACCTTCGTTCATCTTAGGAACACAAATTAAGATATTTTTGATGAAATCTGAGAGCTTCTGGGCCTTGATCGTGGTAGTTGTGTTGCGGTCTATGCACAGTCAGAAAGCTCTTGGATTTCATCAAAAATATATTAATTTGTGTTCCAAAGATGAACGAATGTTTGGAACAACATGAGGGTATTGAGGTATAAATATTAGATGAAAAACTTAGAATGAAAAACTTTGTCATGAAAATTAGAAATGTTGCATTGGTAATTAAGTGAAATAAAGTGAGTTTAAGTATTTAAATTACTAAAACTGAAACCAAAAAAAGTATTAAATAAATTAAAGCTGAAACCTGAAAATTAACATTGTTAGACACTTTAGTCACATTTTATTATGGATGTTTGTTCATTATATAATAAAATACTAAATATCAAAATGGCTTTTAAAGAAAGATAGCACAATCACACTTTTTGCGCAAATAAAAACACTTTGATGATAAAACAATAGATATATTGATCAAATTTAAGACAATTTGGACACATACGTACTAAAATGTCCATAATGAGATAATAACAATAATAATTAATGCATTTAGCAGACACTTTTATCCAAAGCGACTTACAGTGCATTCAGGCTATACATTTTTACCAGTATGCGTGTTCCCTGGGAATTGAACACCACGACCTTTTGCGCTGCTAACGCAATGCTCTACCACCGAGCTACAGGAACATACATGAGATGAGATGAACTACACCTGGGCTATGATCCCGGTGTAATCTTGAGAGGAACTACCGTCACATACAGTATGTACTAAAAAATCATTGCCCAAATGGTTCAGAAAAGCAAAGTTACTTGGCATAATTTGTTTGCAGGTGCCACATGATTTGATATTTTGTTAAGGCAATTCAAAGTGTCTTTTAGGGCTGCTGTATTAAGCAAACACAAAGTTCAATCAAGCAGCCTCAGTGATCCCGCTGCTTTATCTACCCTGCGTATGGTCACATGACCCCTCATCTCATCTAAAAGTCTCCATTGTTTCAAACTCATCAGTGAGGTCATGCGAGAGGCCACAGATGACACCATCACGCTGATTTCCTTATGTAACACCCACGAGCACTCAGCTGACAAACAAAAGATGAGTAAAGAGCTTACGTAAGTCTCTTCTGTTTCGGAGGAGCTGGCCCTGAAAGCGGCCAGCGTGCCTGCTAAGTGCATCTGTTTTTCTCTCAAGTGTGTGCGTGAGGTCGCGTTTTGTGGGTTTAGTGTTAATTTCTTCATCAGCTGAAGCTCTTGTTGGCCACGCCTCCTCGTTAGTGCAGTACGCCAAGTCTCCTGTCTAACCGCACACTCATAATTCAAGAGTGCAATTAATCTGCTGCTGCATCTCCCTAGATTATTCCTGGCCTCTGGGTCTCCCTCATTTGTTCCCTCCAGACAGGATGACAGCAGGAGTGCGGTCCTGGGTGATCGACTTTCGTTGGTTACAGCCTTATTATAAAGTGTAAGATAAGAACCCTGGAGTCAGATATGTGCGCTCAGTGCACTCATTAAGATAAACGATGCCCTTGTGCTTTCTTCTGTAGAGAAGATTTCTGTATTACTGTTTGCACCATCTAGTCGACTAGTTGATTAGCTCTTCTGCTGGTCAATGTCTTGGGTCAGTCACACTGCATGTGTTGTAGATATCTGATATTGTTCATTTGGAGTGCACACGTTTTGTGTGAACTGATCAAATCTTTGGAGGGAGTTGAAAATCCGTGTTGCCCGCGACAGCCCCAAAACATTACTGCTCTAGAGGAGATCTGCATGGAGGAATGGGCCAAAATACCAGCAACAGTGTGTGAAAACCTTGTGAAGACTTACAGAAAATGTTTGACCTCCGTCATTGCCAACAAAGAGTATATAAAGTATTGAGATGAAATTGTTATTGACCAAATACTTATTTTCCACCATAATTTGCAAATAAATTCTTTAAAAATCCTACAATGTGATTTTCTGGATTTTTTTTTTCTCATTTTGTCTCTCATAGTTGAGGTATACCTATGATGAAAATTACAGGCCTCTCTCATCTTTTTAAGTGGGAGAACTTGCACAATTGGTGGCTGACTAAATACTTTTTTCCCCACTGTGTATATATATATATATAGGCTTATTATATGTATATATAAATAAAGGTAACTATCTATATATAATGTCTACTGTCAACACACAAATATGCATGTGTATAGATATCAAATACCTATCATATACATAGACATCAATACCCTTTATTATTATTTACTTTGTCATAAGTAGTATTTTTTTTTTACAAAAATCTGTGTTTTTTTTTAAAATTTCGTACTGTTTAAAACTATAGCCTTAACTTGCTGAGGGTTATTGGAAATGATGACTATTGTGGCGGTCAGAACGACGTGAAGGCAAGTAAATTATGACAAAATGTTAATTTTTGGGTGAACTGTCCCTTTAAATCTCATATCCATCAAATGAAATGCAAAAGTCAAAAGTCTGAGTCTTATTTTCTTCATTTCACCCTCACCTCGCCATATTTTAGCACTCTAGGACTGAAATCTCTTTTTTTAGGATGCTTGGAAAGCAGGGTAAAGATTCTAGGGCAGAAGGTTCTTTAGAAGGAGGCCATGGATGTTTTTTCTCCTTCTCAATTATCTGTCCTGGATTGAAATAGTGCTGCTCTGGCATGGGCCATTGAGGGCGAGGACAGACTGTCCCAGGTGGGAGAAAAGCGATGTGTCCCAGAACATGAAATCCAGAAATATGAAGGCCTGTGTCTGTGTGAAAATGCCACAGCTTGCAAGTCTCATATTGTTTCTTCTTCACTCTGAGGGGCCTTTCACACATGACATAAAATTCTTCTCCCTTAATTAAACACTAATGTATTAGCTCAGCTTTATTTACTCTCTTTTGAATCAGCCTGCTGTGTAGGTTGCGTGCTGAGGGAGATTCCCAATATGTTTAACATTAATCATGTGTGCGGCCATTCGAGCTCCCCGAGCTCCTTCACTCACAGGCTGGAAATCAGACTACCGTTAAGCAGAGTGATGGAGAGTGGAGGAAATGAGCTAATGAGAGGAGGAAGAGGAAAAGCATTGCACCAGGTTCAGTGTGGGAGGATGACTCATCTGCTCCTCAGCTGTCTGCTTAAGACAGAGAACGCTGCCTTTAGCTATTTCAGATAGGTGCAAGACTCTGTGCCAGCAAGCAAATCTTTTTCTCCCAGTGTCTTACAAGCAAGGCTCAGCTTCCCGTCTGAGATATCCCAAAACTGTGTTTACCCATTAGAGCAGAAATGATATGATTTGCTCGTATTGCATAACTGGGATGTATTTTATAACTTTTGTTGATATGCCATTAGCAAATATTATGTAATAGTTCTGATGATTCAAGTTTGAATGTATATTAATCAAAGTTTCATGACATGAATGCACATGAACTATAAAGCATTATATAATCATTTAGTATTATATAACACTACAGAAAAAACAAGTAGTATTTTTTTTGTTTTCCAGTAAAAATATCTAAAGATTTAAATAAAAAACTTCAGAAACAGAATTAGATCAGGGGGCTATCTAGAGTAGAATATTAACAATTAACAAATAATATGCAGTATATTATATAAATAATAATAAATAATAGAATATTATATAAATTCATAGGAAAATATATATATATATATATATATATATATATATATATATATATATATATATATATACACTATTAAAATATTTAAACAATATTATTAAAAGTAATATTTTAAGACAAAATAAGACTATGTATTTACATTTTTTAAATATGTTTAAAGTATGTTTGTGTATTTTTTTACTGGAAAACTATCAAGCTTAAGAACTACAGTATTTTTTGTTTGCGTTATGAATGAAATGTATTAGGATGTTTCAATTATATTTCTAGTTTTTCAGACTCTAAGTAATGGTATTGGAATGGAATTGTTAAAATGGCATTTTCTCTTCTTGCATTTTAGGACGGCACAGTGTATGAGACAGAAAATAAGATACTGCTTGTGGTAAGAGTGACATTTATATTTTCACAAAACCTCTTGATTCATTTACATAAAACTCCTTATCTAGCTCCTCTGTTCAAAAATAGAAATCTGTGTCGAAGTGAGAAAAAGCGAAAGAGAGTGTGTGTGTATGTGTGAGGTGAGTGTGAGAGAAATAAATTCACATTTGATTCATGGAGTCTAGCCCATGCTGCAGTGTCAGTCAGGGTACAGCTGGCTCTCTGCTAAAAATAGCAGAACAGGCCACATTTCATCTGAGAGTGACAGCGAGAGAGAGAGTTTCCATTTGCAACACTAGGAACACCTTCACTGATTAGTCACCAGCAGCAGATTGAGGGAGAATCATGATTGGACGGATCAATTCAAAGAAGACAGCAAGATCATAGAGAATTATGCTTATGAGACCATCCGGGTCACATGATTACATTATAATAAGGTGCATCCTGGCGACACTTGGTCTCAGCGCAGATGGTGTTTACGAAGCGGCACGGTGAACATGCAACAAAATCATCAGCATATTTTAGCCCATCAGCAGCTTCAGCTAGGAAACATTTTCTGTGCCTCTCTTGGTCAAGATATGTAAAATTATGAAACATTTATTTTTTCTCTCTGTCCTCAGTGTAAGACACTGTCAGGCGTGTGTGACCACATCATTTCCCTCTCTTCGGACCCCATGGTGTCCCAGGCCGCCCATCTGGAAGTGGTGCAGCTGGATAACATAAGATCCACAGAGGGACTGGTGGGTATCTGGATGCCTGGATTTCTCATATCTCCTCCTTATGTACAAACATAACGTCATAAACAGAGTTAGGAGTTCTCCTATATGCTGGGCACTGTTTATTTTATATATTTTTCTGTTTATCCAAATATTTTTATAATATTTTATTTAAAAAATCTAAAAATAGTTTAGTGCAGAAATGTGTACATTTGTAAAATTGAAAGAATATTAACAAAGGGTTTGTCTGCAAAATATCAAAATGACTTCAAGATGGTGAAACATATATTATTAAGAACAATTTAATGCAATTAATTCAGTACAATTAATTATAAATAGATAGATAGACGGACAGATTTATGGATGGATGGATGAATAGATAGATGGACAGATTTATGGATGGAGGAATGCATGCACGGATGGATAGATAGATAGATAGATAGATAGATAGATAGATAGATAGATAGATAGATAGATAGATAGATAGATAGATAGACAGACAGACGGACGGATGGATGATAGATAGACAGATTTATGGATGGAGGAATGCATGGATGGATGGATTTTTTTAACAGCATTTGATGATTTTTTTAACTGCATTTGATGATGGTATTCTGGTAGATGTGATTCTATGAGCTTCGGGCAGTAACATAAGCCTGAATAAAGATAAAAATGAACATCCACACACACACACCCTCTCTTTCTCTCCCCCTATATCTCTGCTTTATGAGACTGTGTGTCAGAGAGGATTTGTGCTTGCATGTCATGTCAGCAAGCTTCTTTCAGTGTTTTCCCAGTATGTGTCCGATATTTTCAGGCAATGACTCTAAAGTGTCTTTCTCCTTGCCCTAGGGCATGTACATCAAATCAACCTACGATGGCCTACATGTCATCACGGGCACTACGGAGGGAGTGAGTGATCATTTTCAATCTTTCAGTATAATCTCAATATGACATGCATGGACAGTTCAGCTGAAGAAAGGACATGTAATCATAAAAACAATTGTGTGTTTTGCCATATGTAATCCAATAGCTTTCTCCCTCTCCCTCTCTCAGTCGCTAGCTGACCGCTGTAAGAAAATCCATGCTGGTGATGAGGTCATACAGGTCAATCATCAGACAGTGGTGAGTGTATCTACTGCACACAATAATTTTACAGTAAAACTGATAACATGGCTGGATCATTCCTATTGGTCAATGAAGAATTTACCTGAAATTGACATGATATGAAATATATGTGAAATTGAAGTCGTCTAATAGTATGCTGTTATTTTCCCACCAAAAATTATGTTACTACCTGGAGGATGATAGTTGTAAGTTAGTTTAAAGGGATAGTTCAACCAAAAATGAAAATTCTATAATTACTCACCCTCATGTCATTCCAAACCCCCAAAGGTAAGACCTTCGTTCATCTTCAGAACACAAATTAAGATATTTTTGATGGAATCCAAAAGCTTTCTGACCCTGCATAGACAGCAACGCAACTGACACGTTCAAGGCCTAAAAAGGTAGTAAGGACATCATTAAAATAGTTCATTTGACATCAGTGGTTCAACTGTAATGTTATGAATTTTATGGCACATGGACTATTTTTAACAATGTCCTTACTACCTTTCTGGGCCTTGAACGTGTCAGTTGTGTTGCGGTCTATGCAGGGTCAAAAAGCTCTTGGATTTCATTAAAAATATCTTTATTTGTGTTCTGAAGATGAACAAAGGTTAGGAACAATTTACGGGTTTGAAACAACATGAGGATGAGTAATTAATGACAGAATTTTCATTTTTGGGTGAACAATCCCTTTAAATGATATTCACAAAAGACTGAAAATATGGTCACTGGGGGGAAAAGAGGGGGAAAAAAGAAAGAAACATGTTGGTAAGTTTTTGGTTTTGTTTTTTGTTTAAGAAATTCATATTTTTATTTAGCAACGACATATTAAATTGATCAAAAGTAACAGTAAGACTTATAAGTAAAATCTTATGATCTTTCTATTCATCACAGAATCCTGAAAATAATTGCCATTGTTTCCACAAAAATATTAAGTAGCACAACTGTTTTCAGCATTGATAATAATACAATTTTTGAGCACCAAATTAGCATATTAGGATAAAGAACTGACTGGAGTAATAACTGCAAAAATTCAGCTTTGCCATAACAGGAATAAATTACATTTTAAAATATATAGTAATCATTATACTATACTATTTTACAGTATAATAATATTTCACAATATTACTGTTTTTACTGTATTTTTCACAAAACAAATGCAGCCTTGTTGAGCATAAGTGACTTCTTGTTAAAAAATCTCACTAACCCCAAACTTTTGAATGGTAATGTGTATAGTTTTCCATCTTGTTTATAATTTCACCAATATACTAAGACAAACAGTATATGGTGGGGACATGAAGAATGACCCTGTCAACAAGACAACATAATGCTGGTATGTTTATGAGGTGAACACGTGCATTTGACTTGCATAGGTGGGCTGGCAGCTGAAGAACCTGGTAAACTCTTTACGTAGCAATCCTGCAGGTGTGACCCTCACGCTGAAGAAACGACCTCAGAGCACTCTCACGTCAGCCCCAGCCTTACTCAAGAACATGAGATGGAAGCCCCTCGCCCTGCAGGTACTGATGGGACGTGTGCGGTACGAGGATTAAGTGGCGTGTGTGAATTGATGATATGCCGTGGTGTAGTCCCCCAATCTGTGCCTGTTCTTTTTTTAGCAGCATTAAGAGCACTCTTCCCCTCCCTTAGGGCTTTGACCAACTAGATTGCATGGCAAATCTTCGCTCCACTCTTCCCCCACCCACCAACCTCCCTTTTTTCTCTTTCATCTTTTTACCTCTAATCTGGTGCTTATCCCTCCTTCCGCAATCTCCTCTCCTGCTCCACTGAAGCCCTGGCACATCAGGAATCTTTACTGTGGCCCTGAGAGGAAAATGTGGAATGTCATTTTAGACGCTTGACTATGCAGTATATAAATTGCACATATTTATTTCCTCTTTGCCGTTTCGATTGCACAGCTGACAGCGAACAAGATACGCTGATTGTCATGACAACAGCAAAGTAGAAGACACTGAGAAGGCATTTTGTTTACGCAGAACCAAAGCCGTTACAGAGTGTTTTGTGTCTTGAATACATAAGCAAGAGGAAACAGAATCAGCATGACTGAACACCTCTGTGATGCTGTTTTTTTTTTTGCATGTCTTCTTCCACAGACACACAATGGTCAGATTATTCTGCCACTGGGATGAATGCTTAATTTATAGGGAAATTATTATATTTGATCAGAGCTGGGTAGTAATTGAATATATGTAATCTGGATTATGTAATTAGATTCCAAAAATGAAGTACTTGTAATTAGATTAAATTACATTTTACTCGTAATCAGACTACAGTTACTTTTTTATTGATTACATATTCATAAATTCACTCAAGGACCATTAGTCAGGTGGCTACACAGCATTTGGATTTACAAAAATCATTCAAGTGTTTCAACATTGCATCAACTACTGATAAATTACTTTTTATTTGAATTATCACTCAGTGGGTTATTTGACCATGCATTTCTATGGCTGTGGGAGGCATTTGTCTTTCAAACACTTTAAAATGCTCAAATTATTTCTTTCCCAAAGGTTTTTTTTTGTCATCTGAACCTCTTTTCCCTAATATATTTACTTGAAGTACCCCTGAGATTTTAAAATAAAGATTTTAATAATTAAATATTACATTTGCACGTCCACAGTTCTCTGACATTAGTCAACGGTCATATGACATGCAGGTAAACAAATACAATATTTCATTTTTAGTAGGTGTTTTATTTTGATTGATGTTATTTTAAAATTATTAATTTAAATTTTACATGTAAAAAATAAAATGTAATTACTTGTTAGCGTTTCATTAAACTCCCTCCCTCAAACAACCTCCTGCAGTTCCTTTACAAACCCCAGTTTGGCAAACCTTGACGTAATCTAATGTTGACGTAATGTAATGTTTAATGCACTTCATGTTGTTAATTACAATGAATGGAATATATTTTCGTACTCTTTTTATTTTTTTTAAAACAATATGGTAGAAGAGCATCCTTTTACATAAACGAGTTAGGTCAAAAGTAATTTAAAATAATAAAAAAGTAGTCTGATTATGTTACCTAAAATGTGTAATGTAATGGAGTACGTTACTAACTACAATTTTTGTCATGTAATTTGGAATCAGCAACTGACTACAATTTGTAAGTAATCTACACAGCTCTGTATATTATTATTGTTGACTTTTATTTTTTTTATTCATTTTCTTTAGTAGGTGTAATGTACCATATGTATTTCACATATCAGTGTGAAATTGAGAAATTTACCTGCTATGAAATGATGAATATTGAAAGCACTCTTTACCAACAAATACACTTTTGAAAATGGCCTGGGTCAAATCACAAAAGCATATTTTCCTAAAGGATGTTGGAAATGATAAATCTAACTGTACTACTGTATTTTTAGCCCATCATCCCTCCCAGCCCCAGCAGCAGTGTGGCCACACCGTCCAGCACCCTCAGCACCCCATCCAGACGGGACAGCTGCGCTCTACAGGACCTCTACATCCCCCCTCCCCCAGATGAGCCATACACACCCAGGTACAGTATTACAATATACACAGATGCACACTATATATACAGTGCTGCTTGAAAGTTTGTGAATTAAAATAGAATTGTCTATATTTCTGCATAAATATAACCCCAAAAATCATCAGATTTTCATGAAAGTCCTGAAAGTTGGCAAAGAGAACCCAATCAAACAAATGAGATGAAAATATATACTTTGTAATTTATTTATTCAGGAAAATGATCCAAAATTACATATCTGTGAGCGGCAAAAGTATGTGAATCTCTCGGATTAGTTGTTAATTTGAAGGTGAAATTAGAGTCCATCTGTTCAGAGGTGTTTTCAATCAGTGAGATGACTATCAGGTGTCAGTGTTTTATCTAAAGAACAGGGATTTATCAAAGTTTGGTCATGTTTGTGGAAGTGTATCTTGGCACAAACAAATGAGATCTCAGTAGACCTCAGAAAAAGAGTTAGTGTTCTTCATCAGGCTAGAAAAGGTTTCAAAGCCATCTCTAAAAAGTTCAGACTCCACCAATCCACGGTCAGACAGATTGTGTACAAATGGAGGAAATTCAAGACCACTGTTACCCTCCCCAGGAGTGCTCCACCAACAAAGAACACTCTAAAAGCAAGACGTGTAAAAGTCCACTAGGTTTCAAAGGACTGCAGGCTAACTTCTAAGCAACTAAAGGCATTTCTCACATTGGCTAATGTTAATGTTTATGAGCCCATCATCAGGAGAACACTGAACAAACATGGTGTCCATGGCAGAGTCGCAAGAAGAAAGCCACTGCTCTCCAAAAAGAACATTGCTGCCCATCTGCAGTTTGCTAAATATCATGCGGACAAGCCAGAGGAATACTGGAGAAATGTTTTGTGGATGGATGAGACCAAAATAGAACATTTTGGTTTAAATGAGCAGCGTTATGTTTGGAGAAAGAAAACACTGCATTCCAGCATAAGAACCTTATCCCATCTGTGAAACATGGTGGTGGTAGTATCATGGTTTGGGCCTGTTTTGCTGCATCTGGTCCAGGACGGCTTGCCATCATTGATGGAACAATGAATTCTGATTTATACCAGCAAATTCTGAAGGAAAATGTCAGGACATGAGTGTGTATTTATATATACATAATAAATATACACCGTACACACATATATTATGTAAACAAAAACTTTTATTTTGGATGCGATTAATCGTGATTAATCATTTGACAACACTAATTTGAATATATTTTAAAATGTAATTTATTCCTGTGATCCAAAGCTGAATTTTCAGCAGCAATTTCTTCACTCTTCAGTGTCACATAATTCTTCAGAAATCAATCTAAAATGCTGATTTGTTGCTTAAGTGACATTCCTTATTATTATCAATGTTAAAAACAGTTGTGCTCCTTAATATTTTTGTGGAAACCATGATGCATTCGTTTCCAGGATTCTTTGATAAATAGAAGTTCAAACAGCATTTATTTAGAGTAGATTTTTTTTGTAACATTTTAAACATCTTTGCTGTGACTTTTAATAATTTATTTCATGCCTGCTTAATAAAATTGTTAATATAAAAAAAAAAACCATCTTACTGAGCCTAGACTTTTTCAATTGAAGCCATACAGAGCAAAATATCATGACACCATTTGGAGGTGGATCCCTTTGGTTTAACCAATTAGCAAAAACACTAACAACTGCATTGTAACACTGTGGTGGTGATGTTTGCACCGGAAATAATTTTTCTCTAGGAATGGTCGAAATCTAGTTCACATTCAAGAATTGTGGTATAGGAGATTATAATAGATTTCTCTTACCATTACATAGAGATGACATAGGAAATCTGACCAGCAACTGCCAGCAGGCCGCTAAGGGTTCTGATTCGCCCAACTCCTTCCTGGATCAGGAGTGCCGGAGGCGATTCCCTCTTCTGGATGAGGATGCGGTCCTGTACTGTTACGAGTATGATCAGAATCAGGGCCCTCCACCTGTACGCAGGGACAGCACTCCTACATATGGTACATGCTTTCATACATGATGATATTCAGTCTTTCCAGGCTGTTTTTATCTGCAACACAGTATATACTGTATACACAGAAGTATATTACATTAAAGGGGTCATATGATGCGATTTCAATTTTTCCTTTCTCTTTGGAGTGTTACAAGCTCTTGGTGCATAAAGAAGATCTGTAAAGTTGCAAAGACTAAAGTCTCAAATCCAAAGAGATATTCTTTATAAAATTTTAGAGTCAGCCACGCCTACCTAAAATGGCTTGTTCTAACACCCCCCCACATATCTACGTGACGATGTGAGAAGATTTGCATAACGCCGCCCACATGTTCACACAAAGAAAGAAGGCGTAACTTTTATTCTCGCTGTAGTATTGTTGTTGCCGATGCCATGTCGTGAAAGCTAAACTACTTTTAATTATGTCCCCACTGGATGCAACAAATGCCTCGTTTATAATGGGTTTTCATGTTTTTGTCTCGTCGCTCCGGCCGGACAGGGCATCATCACAATATGGTAAGGGGCGTAACAATTCCATCACACGCTTGAGGTATTCGGCCAATCACAACGCACTGGATAGCTGGCCAATCAGAGCACACCTCGCTTTTCAGACCGATGAGCTTTGTAAAAATCTTTGTAAAAAAATGCGTTTCAGAAAGGCGGGGCATAGAGGAGAAACAAAAATGTACACTATGTGGAAAATAATGTGTTTTTTGAACCTTAAACCACATAAACACATTTCATTACACCAAATACACAAAATAATGTTCTTTTTAGCAACATCATATGACCCCTTTAAATTGGCCATACATCATTGTAAACATAACAATCGAGCTACACTTAATCTTCTACTCCTGGCCCAGTATGTGTATTGTGCTGTAATGGATTATTTGATTTTGTTTTCGATTTCTCTGTGCTTGTATACTAGGGCGACTGAGACCTATTTCTATGCCTGTAGAATATAACTGGGTTGGAGACTATGAAGATCCCGCCAAGCTGAAGAAAGAGATCAGAAGAGGTGTGTATGTGTGTGCTTGTATGTGGGTGGGTGAGCATTGAGGAGGATGTCGTTTTGATATCTTTTCCTCAGGTTACACAGAACCAATGATTTCATCACTTTAGCCCTGACCTTCCCATTGGCACATTTTAAAATCTTTGGACATTGTGTTCAGATTGTCCCCATGCATCTCCCCAATATTTACCTAATTTGTGCTGGGATCGGTCTGCCAGTATCTCGCTGGCTCTTTGTTTGAGATTTTGGGATTTTTTGGTTTTGCATTGCCATGGTAACTCCAACATAGAGGTCTTGCCAAGATGCTGGCTTCTCATTGGTTGAGGCCAGGCTCTGTTGCTGAAGGAGTGGGAGCAGAGAGAATGCTTTCTTTAGTCACGCTGGCAGAATTTATATCAAATTTGTACATGTGCAACACAGCATCTTTCAGCCGTATTTTGATCATGAGATCCCTGAATAATTCAATTTCAACTCTAACCTTTACATTATTTAAAAGGAAGAATCAAAACTGCTTTATTAAATTTTAAAAACAGACCCATTTTATAATCAGCATGCTGTAGTTTCATAATCCCACGTTTATTAACAGAAAACTCCCTGCTGCGATATGTGAGTGAGGACAAGGCGGGAACAGAGGAGTACCACACTGGACGTCGCAGCAGTCGGCGTAGTAGAAGGAAGAGTGAGAAAGGTGGTAGCCCCGCCCACTACGCCCTAGTCCCCACCCTTCAGATGGACATGCTGCAGCAGGACTCGCTGGCCACACCCACATCTGAAACCTCATCTGTCTATCTGGTGAGTGTACTGAAGACAATGTATAAATTACTGTATTAATCTATAAATGTGTAAATACTGTATTAATGTATAAATCATTTAAGATTAAGGGATGCAGCATGAAATGATTTCATTTACTATTTATTTGTATTTATTTACTATCTTTCAGACATTTGATCGATCGTCCATGCTTTCCCGGTCAAAGAAAGTGAAGTTAAGAGGTAAGATGTCGAATGTTAAATTCTGCTAGTATTTGCAGACAAAGAAAACTTTCTGGTAAACATTTCAGATCTGGATCTCTGTCTGGCATGTACTTATTACATTAAATTGCTTGGCACATTACAAAATTTATTTTAATCAGACAAAAAAAATAATATTTTTATACAAGAAATTATATTTAGTCATTCATCAAATAAGAAATAAGAAATTTGTGTTCAGTAGGTTTTGCTTTTATAGAATCTATCACAAATATATTTATTTTTAAGTAGAAATTTGGCAGAATAAAGAAGAAAAATAAAAATGTAGCATTTTTTGACAACTTAATAATTATTAAATTAGTAAATTATTACAGTTTTAGATATATAGATAGGTAGACAGACAGACAGGATAGATAGACAGACAGACAGACAGACTAGACAGACAGACAGACAGACTAGACAGACAGACAGACTAGATTAATCTATATTTATATATATACATACAGTATATAATTAAATAATTAAAATTGTTTGTCATTACAATTTTATTAATGTAATAGTATAGTATGTTATGTAAAAATTTAATTTTGAAGCAATTTAAAGTAAAATGATTCATCTTAAGATAATTTTAAGAATTCTTTTCAGAATTTTTCTTTCTTTTCTTTTTTCTTTGCTTTGATTTTTGCTGATTGAGAAATGATTTTTTTGCAGTGCAGTTATTTCTTTCCTGCGCAAATCCAATCACACATTCTCACTCTGAATAACTATTATGTCAAGACATTTCTCTGCCATTATATGACAGTACATCAAAAAGCCACTGTTTTGATACTATTCCTGCCAGTCTTTTCATTTATATTGCCCACGCTGATGTCTCTGCTCTCTCTCTTTGTCCTTCTCAGCTGGATCCCTGCCCTCCATTAGTAAGCGGCGAATCTCCTGCAGGGACTTGGGTCAGGGTGATTGTGAGGGCTGGCTCTGGAAGAAGAAGGATGCAAAGAGTTACTTCTCTCAGAAATGGAAGAAGTACTGGGTTGTGCTGAAAGATGCCTGCCTATATTGGTACACCAATGAAGAGGTGAGGGCACGAGGTCATTCATCTGCATGATGAAATACCACAGCACAAAATGGCCCATTAGGCTGCCTACATAAACTCCCTTCATCAGTATATCTCAGTTTTTCATCTCTGTTCTTTCTCAGGATGAGAAAGCAGAGGGCTTCGTCAGCCTGCCTGAGTTCAACATCGATCAGGCCAACGAATGTCGCAAAAAGTTGTAAGTAGTAGAATAAAATAAAAAAAAGCTTTAATGCAGCTTTTCATACAGTGCTGACTTTGTATCTCTTGCCTGTTTTCAGTGCTTTTAAGGCTTGCCATCCTAAAATCAAAAGCTTCTACTTTGCTGCGGACAACATGGATGATATGAATAGGTAAGATGAAAAGAAACATTCAAACATGCCTATAGAAACAAAAGAGATTTATAATGTAATCTGAAACATTGTCAATTCCTCATGAATGCTCTAGTCAGGTTCCCAAATCTCATTTAATGCTCCATGAGCTGATCAACGCTACTAATTTTAGCGACATCCCAAAAGACTCTTTCAGCTCGGCATTTCAGCAGTGTGAAGAGCTCCCCAGGTAACCTTTTTTTTTTGTTTGTTTGCTCGCAGGTGGCTCAGTCGACTGAACATGGCGGCAACAGCTCACTCAGAGCAGAAGAGGATTCGACAGGATCATGGTGAGAAGATGCCTTCATGCTCCACTAAGCCTGTCGGATCAATTATTCTCCCACTCTGACTTTGTGTGGTCTGGTCTGCAAGTCCTATAAATATATGTATATGAAGTACAACATGTTGGACGTATGTATGTGGCGTCTGAGTATAGAGGAATAATTTTTGTTAATCTGTCAGTATAATTTATACTTCCCTATCATTTGATGAATAAATGATACAAACGCAAACATCTTTTAAATAAATTGCTGCTTTCCACAGCCTTCAAAGGTCATTATTCTTGGACTCCTCATGTGTTAATCTAATGGATATTTGCTGTCGTTTTCTCAGACTACTGGAGCGAGAGTGACCATGAGGACGCTGATCACATGTCCTCAACACCCAAACAGGATAGCCCTCCACCTCCATATGACACTTACCCTCACTCCACCTCAGTAAGTCTCGTCTTTCTTTCTTTTGTGTTGCTTGGGTTCCTGTGTTCACACTGTGTGAATTCTTGCTGACATGTAATTGCATTATTAAGTGAGAGTCCTCCTCGCTCCATGCAAAATCATGCAACTCCTCTCCTCATGAACTACTAAAACTAAAAGTAAAAAATATTTGTAATGCTTTTGTAATGCTCACCAAGTGTGCATCTATTTGATGAAAAATACATTAATATTATGAAATATTATTAGAATTTAAAACAACTGTTTTCTATTTGAATAGATTTTAAAGTGTAATTTATTCCTGTGATGGCAAAACTGAATTTTCAGCAGCCATAACTCCAGTCTTTAGTGTCACATGACCCTTCAGAAGTCATTCTAATGCTTATTTAGTGCTCAAGAAACATTTCTTATTATTATCAGTGTTGAAAACAGTTGTGCTGCTTAATATTTTTGAGAAAACCTTGATGCACTTTTTTTTAAAATTCTTCAATGAATAAAAAGTTCAAAAGAGCAGCAGTTATTTAATAGGAATAATTTGTAACATTATAAATGTCTTTACTGTCATTTTTGATCAATTTAATACACCCATGCTGAATAAAATGTTTTAATTCCTTTAAAAAAATTACTGACCCCAAACTTTTGAACAGTAGTGCATTCTGTATAAATAAAACTAAGACTGAAGGAAACAAATGAGGTGAAACAATGCAGAAAGACAAGAGAAGGGCAGAGAGGGAGGGGGAGAGCAGGATGAAGAATGAGGTGTGAAGGGGAAGAGAGAATGGAGATGAAGGACACATTAATTATTTAGACCCAAGGGATAATTGTGGCCGCTGTAAATTCATAGTCAAAAGGCACTTTTTTAAAAAGAGGACCTCTGGTTCCAGCCCTCTGTAATCTTAATGAAGGAGACGCAAATCAGTCCCATAATTCTAAGAGGGAGAGTTGTGTGTGCGTAATGTGTTGCTGTCTCAGATCGTTCCATCCAGGCAGAGCATAACTAATGGTGACAGCGGTGAGCCTGTAAAAGAAGACAGCAGAGAAAATGGAAAACAGGGATATAAATGCCCCTCTTGTTATAGTTGTCCTTCGTTTTGGATTTATGCTTCTTGTTGCACCAACCTCCAAGTCGTAAATATACCAACTAAAAGGACCTTGCATGATGTTGATTACAGGCAAGTCCATTCCAGGAGTCCCAACACATCCGCCCACCCTCCACGGAGACCATCCAGTCCCGCTCCCCGCTTTCCGAAACACAGGGGGGCAGTGTGAGCAGCGCAAGCTCCCCTGGCAGAAAGTCTGCCAGCCAGCGGCGTTCGTGGCAGGACCTCATCGAGACGCCCCTCACCAGCTCCGGCCTCCATTTCCTGCAGACTCTGCCATTGGAAGACTCTGTGTTCGTCGATCCCAGTCGAGCCGTGCCTGTGGAGCTCCGCCGCCAGTCGACGCTCCCCGCCCAGCACGGGCTGCCACCAGAACACTACATCCCGCCCATTACGCCCACCCAGCCCAGCCAAAATCCCATCGCAGCTTTAGGAAGAGGAGAGGGATTAGAAGGTTGTGGAGTAGGAAGCAAGCACCGCAGTTTCACCTTGCCCCGTGACAGTGGTCTTCATGCCATCCTGGCTGCCAGCAGTGCAGCTGAGCACGCAGATGCACATCACTACCACCTGGGCCGGGCCCATGCCAGAGACACAGGTCAGGAATCTGAGAACTCGTGAGAAGTGTGTGTTTCTAACTGTGCCTACATATGCAGAGGCAAGTTAGTGGGCGAGTTAGCATGTAGGCAAAGGTATGTGAGTCATTTTTTTAAAGGTGTGCCTGCTTGTCATGATTTCCCTTCAGTTTCAAACTTGTTTTTGATAGTGGTAAACCAATATGCATTTTGAACGCATTTTAGAATAATAATAATAATAATAATAGTTGTTATTATTATGTAAATATTCATGTGAGTCATTTTTTTAAAGGTGTGCCTGCTTGTCATGATTTCCCTTCAGTTTCAAACTTGTTTTTGATAGTGGTAAACCAATATGCATTTTGAACACATTTTATAATAATAATAATAATAATAGTTGTTATTATTATGTAAATATTCATAATACATTTTACATTTACATTTAGTCATTTAGCAGACGCTTTTATCCAAAGCGACTTACTATATATATATATATATATATATATATATATATATATATATATATATATATATATATATATATATATATATTTATATTATTTTAATAATATCCAGGCATTATAATGTAATTTAGCTAAATGGAAAAAAAACTTTTGTCTATAGTTTTTATATTTTGAATATAAAAACTATAATTTTATATTATTGCTTCGAAAGAGATGAGTTTTCAGCTGTCGCTTGTATAATATTTGAACACTATAAATATTTTCAGATTATAATTATAACTATTGTAAATAATATAACAATTCTTAAAATTGAATCCAATACTGTGATTATTTTTAATCAATATTCAGAACTGGTTTTAGTTCTAGTTATTATATAAATATTTAATGAAGAATATTATTATTATTACTACTACTACTGCTACATATGCATATTGTTGATTTAATAATAATAGTATTGTGGAATATATATATATATATATATATATATATATATATATATATATATATTATTTTAATAATATTCACGC